CACACTTGCCAATTTGATAATAATAATAAAAATTAACTGAGATAGAATTGAAAATAATAGTGGCGTTCTTTAAAAATAAATAAATCTGTTCTAAAACTATCCAAGAATGTGCCCTCAATATTTCAGTGGCATTACGAAATATTTCAGAAGCTAATGCAGTTTTAGTGGCCGAGCATCGAACACGTACGAATGCTCATGCCGAACTTTGACGCCCATTTTTTGGAGTTTTCATTTTTACAAGTCTTCGAAAACGGTGCCGATGGGTGATTGCAAAAGGAATGTATGCCCAATCGAAAAATTCAAAGTGATCTATTGTAGCTTCAGTAATAAATTATCTTCTATTTGGACTAAAAAAGTTGGAGAAAAGTATTACTTAAATTACTTTTTTTTTGCATTTCGTAGCGAATTGTTTTTTTTCAAAAAAATGTTGTGAAGAGTTTTCGACATTGAAAAATCTCATTATTTTTTGACACTAAAAATGTTGTTTGAAGCTAAAATATAGTATTCAAATAAATATTACTTTCTGGTAGCACTAATTGGCTGTCAATTTGGCGCATAAAAGGAAACGAGAAAAAAAGTAGGCATTTCACATTCAGTCTATACCTTAGTATAGATCTAGATAGATGATTGATCTCAATGGGAGATATCTCTGCTAAAATTTGAATATTTTAGGCTTAAAGCTGGCAGCATAAAGTAGTTATTTATGCTTGGATTATAAAAGCTTTTTGAAGAATTTAGTGATAAGCCAATATGGAAGCTTGGAGCTTTAGCGATTATAGCCGAAACAACAATAGCGCACCATTCGGTTGCTCTCTTCGCTGTTTGGCGACAGTTGGAAATTCCAAGTGAAATCAGGTCGCTCTCTGCCTTATCCTTACAATGGAGTGGATGCATTCTGATGTCCCTTCATTTGCTGAAATATATCAATGTTACCCTGTAACTCGTACAGCAATATTCGCTGTACCCAGTGCCCAAATCGCAAAACTTCACCCTCGATGTTGACGTCATTAAGCTTCTGCATCATGTAGTAGGACGGGTATGATGAGTGACTTGTATAATACGATTCGGGTTTGGTTTGTCGGAGAAGGACAATATTTTTCAATTACCTACTCAGTCCAACGTAGCATCTGTTGGCAGGAGTTATTCTGCGTTGGATTTCAATACTGATATTGTTCAGTGTTAATGCTGGTCCCTATATAGGCAAAATTATTTACGACTTGAATGACGCGAGCGTTAATGAGCGCGTCTGATGACAGGAGAAATTTCGCCTTGTCCTCGTTCACAACCTGACCTATAAATATAATCCACTTTTAAAAACTATACAGACAGATGAGTTTAAAACTATTATTTGAGAACGTGAGCCTGGGGTTCCAGGCCTAAGTCCGTGAGATCCAAGGAAAATCTACTAGCATAAAGTAAATGATTTGCAAGCTAAAGGTTTAAGGTTCTGAGCATGTGGAAAAGGAAACGAGCGAAAAAGATCGAAAAAGCCAACTTTTAGGAACAGTACAACCTACGCCATTTATCTTAACGAGCCTGCAATTACCTTGTACTCTAGAATTTCATTGCTCTTTATTCTTCTTTAAATTTTCAGACGTTTTTTCCTCTGGGTCTATCTTTTCTTTGATACATTTATCGAAACCGGAAGAATTCTTTGTAAAATCACTTAAACAGAGTTTCCACTACGCGAAAGTCTAATAATGTAAAAGTGAACAAATTCTAATTTATACATACATACGTACATATGTATATTTATAATAACAAATTGCTACATAATTTATAAGCAAAGCTTGTGAGCTTAGGTCATAGCGAAAAATTTGAAAAGGAAGCAAAAATATTTTTTATTTAAAATTTTGTAGATTATATATTATATAATATGTATACATATGTACATGCCCATATGTATATATATATTTGAACGGCTGCCTATCATGACACATTCATCAATACGAGGTGGGTTCAAAAAGTATGCCGAATTTTGAATTTTGGCGAGTTATGTACAATCGAATTTAAATTTTTTTTGTGGCGCTATATTGGTCGGCCATTTTGAATGTTCAATTAATTGTTGACAGCTGCTTTGCTTGCACGTGTTTTGTTTGGTCTTCGATTTTAACCTATTTAAAAAAATGGATCAAAGAACCTGTATCAAATTTTGTGTGAAAAACGAAATTAAGTGCGCTGATGCATTCCGAATGTTGACTGCGGCATGCGGAGAAGCTACCTTGGACCGAAGCAACGTTTATCGGTGGTACAAAATGTTCTCAGGAGGAGGAGAAGTGATGATGATGTGAACGACGAAGAGCGTGCCGGAGCACTTTAACAACAGACGAAAAAATTCATTGCAGGGGCGTGGTGCATCATGAGTTCTTGCCACAGGGTAGAACGGTCAATAAGGAATATTACCTGCAAGTTATGCGCGAAGCAATCCGCCAGAAACGCCCGGATTTGTGGAGTAACAAAATATGGCTTTTGCACCACGATAACGCCCCTGGTCACACATCGTTGATTGTGCGCGACATTTTGGCCAAAAATATCACACTAATGATGCCGCAGCCACCGTATTCCCCAGATCTGGCCCCATGTGACTTTTTCTTGTTCCCTAAACTGAAGAGGCCCATGAAAGGACGACGTCATGCTACGATTGACGAGATAAAGACGGCATCAAAGGAGGAGCTGAACAAGATAAAAAAAAATAAATAATTTTTGAAAAAAACACAAAATTCGTGATATTTTTTGAGCACACCTCGTATGTATGTAGTATATAAATATGTACACAAATGTGTAAATCTAACCCTAAGCTATTTTATATTGCACCATAAAAAGCTACTCGAGCGACTATCGGTCTACAGCTGCTTTATGTGGCGGATCGAGCTATTCTAAAACAAAACAAAAAAATCTGCCACATGTTGCGGATGATTAAACATCTTCCACTTTGAGCATAAATGTACTATGTAAGTACGTATATTCGTATAAGCATGCAAATGTATCTACATAACAAATAACATATAATGTTTAATACTTTTTGTTGATTGATTTGCGATGTGCAATGAACTTAACAAGAAAAAATTGAAGCAAATTTTATTAAAGTAATTTCGCGTACCAAATAAGATAAAGTTTTTTTTAGGTACTATATTTATATTTGTGTAAAAAAAAAAAATTAATAAAAAAATAGTCTAACAAATATATGTATGTAGATTTTTATTATTTATTTGTGTTGAAAAAACTTTTTGGCATAGCTGAATGTATTAATTTTTTTTAACTCCTGTTGTACAGTTTTTGTTCGTTTAATCATAATTTACGCCGTTTTTTGTATCCCTTACTTATTTCCGAATTCCAGCGGGAGTGTCACTCGATAAACAATATGCGCATATACATACCAATGTAAATATATAAATATGCATATATAAATGTATGTATGTGTATGTAGGTGCTTAAACGTAAGTCAACATAGTTGATTATCTACGAAAATGTATCTTCTACATATATACAAACATTTGTATGTACATATATGCCGCCGCATACCAGATACGCATATCTATTATGTACCCAAACATAGTCAACCAAGTTGACGCCTATCGACAGGTCGGCAGCCAAATACTTTTTATAAAATAAAGTATATATTTTGTTGTCGCTGGACAATTTGCTATGTTCTCTAATCATTTATCTAATTGTTGCATTCTTTGCTACTTACATATACTTAGATATTCTAAAATTCTATGAACCGATTTTGCGGTTAACTGGAAAATCAAATTAAAGCGTATGTATTTGTGAGGTTATCTAAAATTGATCTTCATACAAGAGAGCTTGCGCTCAGTTTTTCCACGGTTTAATTTATTTGTTTAAACGTTCGGGGTAATTAAAAAACGGTAACTAAAAATATTCAAGGAAATTTTGCGTTGCTGCGCCTAAATATGAAATTTTTTTTTTGGAAATTAGATGGGAAAGCATATTGATTAAAATAATTATATATACAAATTTATTATAAATTATAATATTTGAAATATATTTACTTAATCTTTAAGTCGCCTTCGTTAATTTTTTTAAAAGTTATTTAATGAGATTTTCTGAGTTTTATTACTCAGTTATGATTGATGGTTTATTAACTATTTTTTACAATCAATAATATTTGGTTTCAAATAATCCAATTGTGAGATATGAGGATTTGCTTTTTTATTAATAAATGAATAAATCTTTAAGCCGCTAAATAAAAATTCCTTATTTCTTCTATGTTTTGTTGGTTGCATGCTTAATAATTTTTGTTAAATAATAATTAATCCCATTTTAATTTTTAATGATTTATTTTGATAATTGCTTTCTTCATCTTGCCTCATCTAATCTTAACTTAATACAGAAAAAAACATGGGGAGAGAAGCTCATAGGGGATCAGGGTATTCCGTACTTTCGACTTTTTTGATCTCTAAATTTGTTTTGTTTATTTCGTAAGCTTAGACAATCTATTCTATTTTTGTTGATGAATTTAACTTAAGAGATCTTAGTCATCGTTGAAAATAAATTTTGCTGAAATAATTCTAATTTGGCACATTATCAGTTGAGATCATAAAAGTCAGTGAAGTACATATATACATATATGAATTTGAGATTTCATTAAGTTATGCGTAAATCATGACTTTGAAAATAAAGATGAATTAATTCACACTTCAGCAGCAATTAATATTATCAGACAGTTTTAACGCTTAAAGCGATAAGTAAATCATTACAAAAATTTATTAAATGCACTGTTAAATGTTTAGGAAAACGTGCGCATGTACATAAACACATATAGAACAAATGCTATTACTTATTTACGTATATATATTTATGTTGTTTATACTCGTCTAGAAGAAATATCTACGCGTTGAACCGTCGTGAACTCTTAACAAAATTTCACTCAAACCCAAAAAGTGCGTTTGACCCATTTTTAAATGTTAAAATATATATATATTAATTTAATTTCTACCATAAAAAAAGACTAATTCTCAAATATTTTTGTTTTATTCCAGCTATATATACATACATATATAATATCTTCGAAGTTCATTCAGAAACCTCGCTCATGTGCTCCCTTCAATGCGTCAAATGAATTGAATGAAATAAAAAGTGAACTTTATGGACACAATCAAGTCGGCTGGTTGACGGACGGCTGCTAATAGAATTTTAAACTATAATTGATTGAATTGGAAATTTTTTTTTTTTAAATATTCCCATGTGTCTAATATTACACTACACTACGTGCTATTTAAACAATTTTTCGACGACCGAGTGAAATTTGTTTAAGTAATCAAAATGTGGTTTTGCTGTAATGAGCGGATTGTTGGAATGGAGCCAATGCGGTTTCAAAGGTGAGTAAAATCTCATTTCAAAAAACTTTCAGTCTGAAGCATTATTTTAAATGTAATAAAGTAAAGTAAAATAAAATCAATAAAAAACGAAAAAATCAGATAAAGAAAAAAATCGATGAAACAGAAGTTGAAAGATAAAAATTGTAATTATAACAACATATTAGATCATTAAATAATATTATAGAATAACAAAGTTTAAATTAGATAAATAAATAAAAAATGAAATTTAAAAATTGAGTAAAATAAAAAAAAAAG